TTTTACATATATCTTGATATCTGTATTTTCAAATTATACTAGTTTCAGTAACAGATAGTTCGTTGCTATGACGACATACATGCACAAAATTCAATCCAAAATGGCCTATCGTCTCGTATAGTTGGAAAAGAAGCCTGGTGACCCCAATTTTTTTTCGTGCATTAAATATTTTACTTGGACGAAAAGCTGACAATTAGAAAAATGCCATATTTTTGGAAAATGCGAAAATGTCGTACTCTTCGGTAAAATGTTTTTGGCAATACAGAAATTCTTTATTTTTTGTGTAATGAAAGTTTTTTAGCGATGCAATACAACATGCAAAATTTGAACATAGGTCACCAGACAAAATAGAGAGATATAGCGCATTGTTTTTCTAAAATGGAAAATTCTAGTGACGTTAGCAATTAACATAATACCCTATACAACACGCGCAATGACGTGGGATGGCGAGACCAACTGCTCACGTCAGGTCATTTTGGAAGTTCGTTTGTTTTGCTAATTAGTTTCCGCGACCTGCGCGTAAAAATTATTACTCAGTCTTGCTTTCGATTCTTGAGCAGAGTCTTTGTAATAACTATATTGAGCCACCTTAATGAATAAATATCAACAAATGATATGAAACCGATTTATCACCAAACATCAGATAATGCAGTTGTTGGTTGTATATAGTTGTTCGTTTTAAATCGCTTTGTTCTTCAATCGATGCAATTTCGTCCTGTTGTGGCAATGTTGTTAAGCTATTGAATCTAAAATACACACATTACTTTTCGTTTGTTTATTCGCAGTCGCAGACTGTTGATTGCCAAATATAACTATCACACGATCTTTACAGAATTTAACAGAAAATATTCGATTCACTTACCAAGAACTAACATGCCCGTTCCATCTAGAAATAATTTATTTACATCCCTGTTCTTTTCTTTTAGGCTTTCAAACGTATTCTTCAAACCATACTTTATCAACCAAACCAAACTTAATCAGGATTTAGAAAATATAGTCAATTGGCTCTCTCGAAATTGCAATTTCACACAAAAAAAGACAAAAGCAATGTTTATAGGATCACCCTATAACTTAAATAACAAAGTTGGTAATGAACAGGTTATGATAAATGATAAACCGGTTACTCGATATTCCTCTTTTCCATGTCTAGCAGTAGAACTAGATGAAAGAATGAGCTGGGAAAACCATATAGACACAATATGTAGGAAAATTGGCTCCGGTATTGGAATCATCAAAAGAGTAAAGCCCTTTGTACGGTCCGAAACGCTACAAAATTTATATAATTCTTTCGTTCTCCCATGTTTTGACTATTGTTCATCTTTATGGGATAATTGTGGAAGCATCCTCAAAGAGAAATTACAAAAACTACCAATTAGGGCGGCAAGAATTATGACAGGTGCCAATTATGATGTCAGGTCGACAGATTTGCTCCATGCTATGTCATGGAAAAATCTGAACGACAGACATAAAATGAATAAATCGGTCCTGATGTTTAAAATATTAAACAGCCACTCAGCTACGAACTTAAAGGATACATTTATAACAAGGGACATCAATGTTAGTACTAATTATAATCTCAGAAATGCTGATATAAATCTTTCAGTTCCTAAACCACGTACTGAATATTTAAAAAAGAGTTTTGGATATAGCGGTGCTGTTCTATGGAATAGTTTACCTGGGCAGGCAAAGCAAACAGAATATTTAAGTAGCTTAAAAAATTTGATAAAATAATGTGTGCAACAGAGTCACGCATCGAATAGTCTTGGTTTTTTAACTTTTTATCTACGTATTTGTTAATTTATTTAGTTTTTAAAATGTAATTTGCGTGACGCCCCTCATGAAAATCATCCCTGGGTGATGAGGGCCAATTCCTACCAGAGGATCTTGTGCTGCCTTTTTCGCAGTCGTTCCTGGTTAGGTCTTAAAATGTATATGTTCTGTTATATATTGATTATATGAAGTTCTGTATATAAACGCATACGCAAGAGAGTCTCGATAGAGAGTTGAGAGGGCGAGGAGTTCTTTTGAGAAATAGTCGTTATTACACTTATTTGGAGATTAAAGGTTATTTTGGCATTCAATCCTTACTCGGCTACACGAGAAATACATTACAAATTGGCGTCGAGAATTAAAATTACATGGCACAGCAAAATAATACGTGCTTCGGCGTTCTGGAACCTTTCGATGGCGGGGATTTTATAGATTACAGTGAGAGACTGAATGCATATTTTATTGCAAATAACATTGGCCAAGTCGCAGCAGATGCAAATGAAGCTGCAAAACAAGCTGCAGACAAAAGGAAAGTCGCCGTAACTATTTCGGTGATGGGAAAAGCACATACAGTACATTGGAAGATCTCTGTCTCCCTCATTTACCAGCTGAAAAGTCGTACGAAGAAATTATTACAATACTCAAAGGATTTTACAAACCGAAAATACTCGAAGTCGCAGAGACATACCGATTTCATCAAGCAGTTCAAACGGAAAGCGAAAGTGTAGCTCAATATGCAAACAAATTGAAGCGTTTAGCTGTTCATTGTAATTTTGGCGCCTATCTTACAAGGGCATTACGAGATCAATTTGTTGGGAGAATTCGAAGTAGAAGTACTAGAAAGAAACTTCTTTCTGAAGACAGGACATTTGATAAAGCAGTAAAGGTTGTCCAAGCAGATGAGCTAGCAGAGAAAGAATCGAAAGAATTGCTTTTCAGTGCGGAAAGAACAGAAACCACACAAGCCCCAGTATATCAAACAAGAAGAAATATCATTTCGAAGGCGGGGATCCAAACAAGGCAAAACCTTTTAAGCAAGGGAAAACTTGTTTCAGATGTGGATCTACACAACATTTGGCAGACAAGTGCAGCCATACCTACACAACATGTAACTATTGTAAAAAGGCGGGACACTTGGCAAAAGTATGTTTCAAGAAAAAGAAGGCAGATAGCAATGCCAAGGCACATAACATTGTAGCAACACATACTGATGAATTTAGTGACAGTGACAGTGATATGAATTCTGTCAACGGTACACCAGTAACTATTTTTATGCAGAATATAAATTCTGTGGGACAGAAATCAGAAATCTCGCCACAATACAAATTGGGAGTGAATATTAATGGTCAAGAAGTCTCCATGGAAATTGACACTGGAAGTTCAGTAACATTATTAAATTCTGGTGATTTTGAAAGAATGGGTGGTGACACAAATGTTTTGAAACCTGCTACAGTGGTACTTAAAAGTTATACGGGAAATGAAATCAAGTGCCATGGAGAAGACAACATGAAAGTCAAAGTGGGAGAACAAGTAAGTGACATAAATATTCGAGTGGTTGAAGGACCATCACTACTAGGACGTGATATTATGACTAAATTTAGACTGGCACAACATTTTCAGTATTTTTCCTACCACTGCAGAGGATATTATACAACAATATCCTAAACTGTTCGATGAAAGAGGAGTAGGAAAACTGAAGGGGGCACAAGTGTCATTAAGAGTAAATGATGATAACCCAGTGTTTATGAAACCCAGAGTGGTACCTTTTGCAATTCGGAAAAAATACGAAGAAGCATTAGAGAAACTAGTCCAGGGTGATATTATTGAAAAAGTAAAGCACTCGGAGTGGACTTCACCGACGGTTCCTGTGATTAAGCCTGATGGCAATGTAAGGATCTGTGGAGATTATTCTGGTACAATTAACCAGGCAGCTACATTAGAACAATATCCAGTACCTACATTTGAAGAGTTACTAAGCAACCTTTCAGGGGGAACGAAATTTACGAAACTTGATCTTTCACAGGCATACCATCAATTAGAACTCACCCCTGAAAGTAGGAAGTACACAACAATAAATACCCATCATGGTTTATGCCAGTACAAACGATTAGTTTTTGGGGTAAACAGTGCGGTGTCCATCTTCCAACGTACTATAGAAAATGTACTCAAAGGTCTTCCAGGATGCTGCGTTCGGATTGATGATATCTTAGTAACAGGGAAAACTGATGAGATTCATATGGGGAATTTGCATCGTGTTTTGCAAAGATTACTAGAGAGCGGGCTTAAACTGAAGCGTGAGAAATTCCATTTCATGCTCGGGGAAGTTATTTATTTGGGAATGTCAACCTCGGAAGCCGGCATTTCACCAACAGAGGAGAAAGTGCAAGCCATCAAAGATGCCGCCCCACCGGCAAATGTTTCTGAGTTGCAATCTTTTATTGGTACAGCAAATTTCCTGCGTAAGTTTGTGCGAGGGTTCGCAGAAATTATGACACCTTTGTACAAATTACTTCGGAAAGGAACTCCATGGAAATGGAGTAAAACTGAACAGGAAGCATTTACCACTATCAAGTCGGCATTGTGTTCGGATTCTATATTAAGACATTACGACCCAGCTGCTGAGCTAGTACTCCAGTGTGATGCATCTTCTATAGGAGTTGGAGCTGTACTGCTCCAGCCTGTTCATGATGGCACATTACAACCAGTAGCATACGCTTCTAGAACTCTTAATGCAGCTGAGAAAAATTACGCTCAAACTGAACGTGAATCGTTAGCAATTGTATTTGGAGTTACAAAATTCCGCCCGTATTTACTTGGCAGACATTTTAAACTCCTAACAGACAATAAACCGTTGATCACTTTAATGGGGAACATAAGTCAGTTCCACAGTTAGCGTCCGCACGGATTAAGAGATGGTCCCTTCTTCTGGCAGCATACAACTACACGATTGAGTTTATTTCTGGAAAAGAAAATGTCCATGCAAACTTTCTTTCAAGGAAACCTATTAACATACAACCAACTCCGGAGGAACAGGTAGAGGTTAGAGTCATGTTTATCGAAGGAGAACAAACTGTTAATTCCACAATGGTTGCCATGGAAACTAAGAAAGATCCAGTCTTAAGTAAAGTACTAGATTTTACGAAGAATGGGTGGCCAGAAAATCATGGTCTTGGTCTGGAGGCCCTTGGAAGCGTATTCATATAGATTACGCAGGTCCGCATCTAGGGAAAATGTTCTTAGTCGTTGTCGACGCCTATTCCAAGTATGTTGACATTGTCCCAATGTCTAATGCTACTTCAACTACCACCATAACAGCTTTACGACATATTTTCAGCAATTTTGGACTACCTGAACACATTGTTTCAGATAATGGTAGCCAATTTACCAGTGAGGAGTTTCAGAAATTTCTGAACGATAACAATATTCAACATACTACAACCGCTCCAGGACATCCTGCAACGAATGGATTGGCAGAAAGGTATGTGGGAAATTTTAAAGATAAACTAAAGAAAATGGTGGACTCAGGAGAGCCATTGCAGACAAAATTAGACCAGTTTTTGCTGACGTACAGAGCTACCCCTGCAGGTTTAGGAAAGTCACCATCAGAGTTGCTATTAGAATGAACAGGCAACCACGGATCCGATTGAGTGCGTTTAGGGCGAAACAATCGAAAAATGAAGTTAAAATATTTCAAGATAGTCTAGATAATCAACCAAAGTACAGTCAAAATCAAGCAGTATTCGCACGAAATTTTGGCAATGGAGCAAGATGGCTTCCATGGGTTATAGTAAAGATAATTAGTTCTAGAAACTAGAAAATACATGCATGCAGAAACCCTCGCCCTGCTGACAAAACCGTTGTATTTTCCGAACATGAAGTATCTAAAGTAGTTGTCATGGTAACACGATAATTTTTTAAGAATATTCATACAAATGAAAATCGCCTAAAAATATCACTTTTAATTACAAAATTATCAATTTCCCAACATATATATGTTAGGTATGTAATTATACGTAATACAAGCTTCAATTTAAGGTAAAATTCAACCACAAACAATTCACAAAACGTTTTAAATTAAAGTGTTCTTTATAAAACTAGACTGCCTTTAACTATTAAATGGCTTTATCGATAAACTTTGAGTTTGCAATAAAATGATTTCAAATTCTCGCTTGCAAATAACTTTGCTTTATTTTTTATTTAAAAAATTCAATATAATAAAAAAGGGAATCAATATTAAAGATACACTGAAATTATATGCTGTCTTGTTTAATTGTTTCATATACGCAAAGGCCGTCGAGTTTTAAAGCCATTATAAAATCAATATTCAAAACAAACTTACCTTCGTTAACGTCGGCTCCCTTCTTTTAGCTGATTCTTTCGCCCTTTCTTTCTTGAAATTTACAAAATCTTGCAGAAATACGAGCAAAAATGAAGAATATTTGCAATAAATTGATCAATCATCAACTCATCAAATCAAGAA